CCGCTCAAAGGGATTGAGTTTCTGAAAGTACCAGCCAGACGATGCCACCCTAGATCCTTAGGGAAGGGGTCGTTGCCTGTGAATTTGCTTCTAAGCACACGTTTTTGCTGTGAGAGGGCAGGAATCTAGTTGGAGAATTGGAGCCAATAAGAGGGTTTCCAAAACACTCATGGGAAAACGGAATGAAAAGGTAATGGAATTTCCCCCACAAGCCATAGAAGTCCCTTCATCTTGCTGCTAATTTGTCTTGTGTTTTGTCGAGGATGCTTCACCATGGATCAATCGGTTCATCCTGGTGGCACATCGCTTCAGCGACTGACTGCTGACCAGAAGGATAGAGGTCCCTAAGTGGGAGATACGCTCTTGTCATCTGCTGCTATAAAGATTCCAGTCAATCGAAGCCTACGAGGCAGCTGTCCTGTCACATGAGGTTTCTAGAAGCACCAAACAGTCGTCACGACACAATCGGTCACCACGGTTTTGAACAGTGTAGACAGGGTTTCATGATATTTTTCAGGGGGGTTGGCACGGAGGGACCTCATTTCATTCAAAAACACAAACACAACCAAAAAAAATGTCAATGTATCACATGACAAGGGGGAAAATATTCTCTTTCCCCCTTTCATGCAAACAAAAGCAAGCAGTGAATAATGAAAGGAAAACCAACGGAGCTTCCCACTGCTCGGAGGAGGGGAGGGGAGCCGCAGAGGATGGCCGCACAGCGTCTGGAGCCCCCTTCGTTCCTTCCCCATCCCTTTATTACCCACTGGACCAAGGGCGTAGGCAATTCCTACCATGGTTGTTTTACAGTCTCGTCTGTCGACGCCGAAGCTCTGTGTTCGCTAGTTTGTCCCTTGCACTGAATCTTGAAGGAGCTGTGTCACGTCGGGGCCTCACCAGCAGGGCACTCGGTCCTCTGTCACCTTTTCCTGCGAGGCCCTTGGAGGAGGACGGGCTCACCCGGGTCCCTTGCGTGCTGACCAAAGTCCTCCGGCTACCGTGGCTTTTTCAAGCACTTCACGAAGGATCAGGTTGGCTACTCCTGGACTATTCAGACACCCTCACTGTGTGACCTTGAGCAAGATGGCCTCAATTGTACAGAGCCAAGAACATACCAAACCAAACCAGACACGGGTTTGACTCCTGGCCCCGCAGTAGGGTGGAATCGAACTGCGGAATAGAAGGGTGTTGCATGGTGGTAAATCTTGATGGCAGCCTCGCCTTTCTCGGAAGGCATGACTGGTGGGTTCAGTTGGACCTTGTCGTTGGCAACGCCAGGGCTCCTTTAAGAAGGCCCAGGGAAATAAAATAAATAAATAGATAGATAGATAAATAAGGGGGGGTGCTTGAATCGTATTTGAAAATGTATCTTTGGGCCTCTAAGGAAAAAAAAACACCTCTTACAAGTGGATATTTTACCCCCTCCTAATATTGACTGCTATAGATGGGTCTTAATCAGTGAATTCATGTAATCCTTTGACTACCCACTGCCATGAAGTCAATTCCATCTCACAGCGACCCTGCAGGGCAGAGTAGAGCTTCCCTCATAGGGTTTCTGAGGCTGCAAATCTTTACAAAAACAGCCAGCCTCATCGTTCTCTCGTGGGTTTGAACTATTTACCTTTCCGTTAGCAGGACCGTGTTTAGCCTCCTGTGCCAACGGATGCCTTTCCTGGGTTACAGTTTTCCCATATCTTCTTCCAAACCACTGCTCTCTCCAATAAGAATCTGACTGGCCCTCAGACTTCCCGATATGTAGATAGTTACTGAAGAGAGGTTGGTCTCCAGTCAGACACTTAAAAGAGCAGCTTTTGAAAATATTATTCATGTTTTGTTTCTATATAAAAGGAGAGGTAGGAACTAATAGCATACGTTCAGTGGTACTGTAATTTTTAATAAAAATTGAAAGCAAATAATGGCTAATTCTATCACCCTGTGGGAAATCTAGCCTCATAACGGTGGGGAGTCATAACGTGCAGAACCTACAAGATAGAGTTCCGGTTTTTGTTTTTGTTTATCGTAGATGGGGGGCGTGAGGAGACAATTTATCTACCCTTCCTACTCACAAAGCTAAGTGTTTTCTGAGATTTTAATAAATTAATCCATTTATTTTATTGCAGATAGTTGTGTCTAATAGGCCTGAGATTTCTACCTTACCAGGCAGGAACAAGAGCTATGCCCAGGTTGCCTGTGCTCCTGCTGAGCCGAGGCCACTAGTGGTGCCTTTATTAATACAAAACACCACATACCTATTTGTTCAGTTGCTCATTCTGGCTGATGGCACGCGATCAGCTGCGATCACAGATTAAGTGGTGTGAAATCATCCAAAGATGCTCACTAAGGAAATGCTGGTTATTAAATTACATGAATCTCCAACTCTCATGCAAACAAGGGCTGCATCTTCTGCAGCAGGGCAAAGCAAGGCTGTCCAAAAGTGACTCTAAGCCTGTCTTTGAATCAAGTAATGCTTCTTAAACCCGATCAGCCACCAGACTCTCTTGGGGAAGTGTGCCGAAAAACCATTCCCTGCCTCTAACTCCACTGTAGTAAGGCTTGGAAGTGACCTAGAAATCTGGTCTAACAAGTACCCTGGGTCACTCTGACAGCAGTGGTCCACCTGGGGCAATGCATTCTCATTGCGTTGGCCCCACACCTGGCTCAGAACCCAGGCCTGGACAAGGTGTGTCCCGAGCAGACTGGGTACCGGTAAAAACTGAAGTTGGAGCACTCTGCATTTCTGTTTTCAGTCCATTTCCTCTTCCCCAGGTACTCTATCCTACACGACCTTCCTGTTGGATCGCGCGCGTGGAGCTAGTTCGTCAAACTCTGCATGTCTATTCCCCCTTCCTTTCTCCCCGCCCTCTATCACACACTGAATCTGCATGTAGGAGGTACTATCCTTGGCAGCAGCCAGATACCCTATTAACTATCCACACCAAGATGCTAGGGCTTCTAAAACTGTGGTGCCAATGGTGAGTCTCTCAGGCATGTGTCCCTTTAACAAAAGGGTTCTAGAAGTGAGGACTGTTTACTGCAAGGGAGGACTCTCTAAGGCTAAAGTTCCAAATGTCTAGGCAGTTACTGTGGGAAAGGTCACTTAGGTCTTCTTGGCAGGCCTGTTTGGTAAACCCTATTCTACCAGAGAAAGCTCAGACCTGTGCAGAGGTTGAGGAGGACGGCATTGACCACCAAAGGCACCGAGAATGTGGAAAGCACGTCTTCTATTTTGATCTGCAAAACAACAACTGGCTAGTGTTACCCATCTCCACCGGAGTCTACTAGGATGCTAGGCCAAATTGTAAAACCCATCCAAGAATAGGTAGTGGAAAATTTCACTCCTGGGGGAGGTTGTTCAAACCACTCCCTTATCAGAGTGACCAGAGTCTGCCATAGGACGTTACAAGGCAAGTCATTTTTGCTCTTCTTCCAGGGATTCAGCTCCAGGCTTCCTGCAGGCCAGAGCCGTGCATCTCACTGGTTCAGCAGAGGGAGAAGGGTTAAAAAGTATGTGTTGAGAGTTAGAGTAGACATGGCTTGATTACAGAAAACCACTCATGGCTTTGCAAGCAGCCCTGATGGTGCTGTTGGATAAGTGGTGTGTGGCTACAGCTGTGGAGACCCTATACGGGGTTGCCGATAAGTGGTGTGTGGCTACAGCCATGGAGACCCTATCTGGGGTTGCTACATATTGGACGGGAGAAAGATGAGGCTTTCTGCTTCCACAAAGGGTCCCAGAAACCTACAAGGCGAGTCCTCCTCTGTCCTCAAGGGTCAACAGGAGTTGGAATCAACTCGATAGCAGTGAGATCAATTGGAATCAACTCAGTGGCTATTGGTTTGGACCCAGGACCCTGCTGGCACTGTGAGCCAGGTGTTGGGCTGCTAACCCCACAGTCAGTGGTTTAAACCTATCAGCAAGAGCCTATCCTGGGTTGCTCTGAGTCCGAGTGAATTCAATGGCAGTGGGCTCTGGTTTGGGTACTCATTAGCTGTGTGAACTTGGGCAAATGATATAAGCTCTTTAGCCTCATTTTTTCATCTGTAAAATGAGCAAGTTAATAGGCATCAAATAAGTACTCTGTAAATGTAACTATTATTATCCTAGCATTAATATTAGCATTAGCTCCCTTGCAAATGTTAGAAAGGTGAACATGATGCGGGGTATGTCAGCTTTTCTGGTGGGGTAGGAGCAGAACGAGTGGGAGAATTTCTTCTATATCTTCTCTAGGCAAAGAACATGTCTACTCTTCTGAACTGATGGAGCATAAGTGAAATTAATATGTCTGAACTGGACTACTAGGGAAAATATTAAGGATACTGCCTTTAATTTTCACATTACAGACTCTTAATAAGTGTCTCTATTAGGAATTTTTTCAAATTGTGGATTCAGGTACAAATGGGCGGGCGCTATTGCCAGTCATATCTCTGGTTATCCTAGCACCATGTTTCCATTCTCTCTTTCAAAAACTATTCTTGAGCACCTATTATGTGCCAGATATTGGCTAGCATGGTGCTAAAGAAGACAGTGGGAAATATAAAAGAGTTATCAGACCTTCCACTTCGATGCCTTTGAAGTGTGGTACCGGTGAAGCATATTGAAAGTACCACAGACTAACCAACAACCAAGCCAATCTGTCTTGGAAGAAGTACAGCCAGATGGCACCTTAAAGGCAAGGATGGTGAGACTTCATTTCATGTACTTTAGACAGGATGTCAGGAGAGACTCGTCCCTAGAGAAGGACTTTATGCTTAGTTGAAGTAGTGGGGCAGTGAGAAAGAGGAAGCCCTTGGACCAGATGGATTGACCCAGTGCCTGCATCAGGGCTTAAACATCACAACAGGGCAGGACTGGGCAGTGCTTCGTTCTGGTGTATGTAAATATGGTTGCTAAGAGCCGGAACCAACAGGAAAGCACCTAACCACCCCAGCAAAACAACAACAACAAGGACTTCAACGTTCCTGACAAAACAAAGACCTAGTTCCCCTTTTGTGACGCTTACATTTATGCCTCCGTTCCGGACAAGTCTTGCAGAAAGCTTGACAAGTGCCGTGAGGGAGGCACAGAACATGGCGACGCTCAGGCCCAGGTCGAGGACTTGAAGCGCCAGGTGGTATTCTTCATAATGCCGGGGGTCCACGCAGACGGATGAGAATTTCGCGTACGGAAAAGGAAAGGCCACTGCATAGCCAAGGTAATTGGTGCCTGCGATCCCTGCGAACGAGTAGAAGCAGTACGGGCCAAGGAGGGCTGATTCCAAAGCGATTGCAAAATGGAGTGGGCATCCCATAATGCTGAGAATCACGAAGGTGAGACTGGCTTCCCACTAGAAATGAAACAGAAGCAAGGTGTTACTTTGAAGAATTAGTTCTTTCACATGCTTCCTAAGCAGGTGAAAGAACGACAGGGCCGCTGGGAGCTCACCTCTCTTCTAGGATAACAGAGCTTCCCTCTGCCCTCTGATATACACTGGATGAGAATGACGAGTTGGGGCAAGAATACTAACAGTTCCACTCAACACGTATTTATTTATTCATCGTCTCTCATATGAAGAAGGGTTAGTCTACAAAGGGAAAAACCAGAAATGGCTACCAGCACCCGCCCCGTTCTAAGCCCTGGCTTCTCACGGTGAGTTCCCTGATGCAGGGACGTCAGCATGCCCTAGAAGCTGGTTAGAAATGCTCACTGAGAACTATTGAATTAGAATCTGCATATAAACAGATCCCTAGGAGGTTCACATACGTGTGAACGTTGGAGAAATACCACCTTAGCCATAGGAAGAAAAGCTATAACCGGATCAAGGTCTGTGTCTGAGTTGCTTGCCTTGAGGCTGTCAAAATCTGTGAGATCAGAATCTTTTCATCCTTTTGTGGAGGAAGATGTAACAGGCAGATTGGAAGAACACCCTAAACTGAAGGCTTGAGACTTAAAGTACATTATTAAAAGCAGAGGGGTTTATAGATCCACCCTTCAAAGTGATTGCATCTATGTCATTTAAGACATGAACACTCGGTCTTCCTCAAGCATGATAATCATAGGAACTTGAAGAAAATTATTGGAGCAGGAATCAGATAGAAGAATTCCTCTAAAACATATTTAGTTGATTACTGAAATCCATCATAGTAAGGCATTAATTAAAGATAGTTCCATTATAATTGGAATTCATGCTTTTCTCTGTTACATCCTAAAATAATAGTGATTTGACCTCTGAATTCACTCTACCTTCTGATGTTATGTCTATAGATTTACCAGGTATCTCTTGGTCCACTCCCTGTGAGTCAACAGCAGAAATGCACCAGCCGTGATGGCCTGTGGGAAGAAACATGGAAAAATGACCCCCATACCTCCAGAAAGAGTTCTATCCATCGCACAGTGTGACAACTTTACTGTGAACCAGAAGGAGCAGCACATAGCTAAAGTATGGTTGTTACATAATCTCATGTCAACTCGAGGATATTAAGAGCAAAGGGGTGGAGTCGAGCCTGTCAATCAGACCACAGCCTGATGCCTCCTTGTGGGCATGGCCTTCTCCTGAGGATTCTGGGAACTTCCTCTCTTCCTTCCTGGTGGTGTGAGGCACTCTCTCTCTGCCTTCCCTCTCCTGCTGTTGAGACACTCAGAGAGCTGGAGGAGAAACATGGAGACTGGTGCCAGCTTGGAGGTGCTTCCCCCACTACTGGATCCACAAGACTGTCTACCCACCAGCCTGTGATCTTCCTGAATTCGGCATCATTGCATGTGCTGTGTGAGTCTGAGAAGAATTTAGGGACAAGTATGGGACATATGGGCTAATACTGGACTTATGGACTTGATCTGGACTGGGTTGGGGTGTTTTCCCAATATACAATTACTCTTTGATATAAAGCTCTCTTCTACACATATAAGAGGGTCCATGAATTTGTTCCTCCCGGCACCTCAGTCTAACACATAAAGGTAGTTAGGGCGCCCATCACCACCTCGGCCACAGAAGAAACTGATGACCATGAGGAAAATAAGCCAGCAGGGCCAAAAGACAGAAATCACTACACGCTCATGTTTTATTTCTCTGTGTTGTGTTTGCCATCGAGATTGTAACCTCCATGAAATAGAAAGTGTCAGCGAAATGGAAGTCTGGCTTTGTAAGCCTGGCTATCTGTTTTCTTTGGACCCATTGCCCATCGTTGATGCCTCACACCCCTGGCTAAAACTGCAAGTGGGAGGAACCGGAATCCAAATCTGTCCGAGAGCTCTGAACACCACCCCAACGGCAGCGTCCCCCTCTGCTGTTGGCTCTCTCTTGAGATTCTGCAGCCTCGGCCGGCTGGTGGGGTACCACAGCATGATCCCTGTTTCTTTTGAAGTAGCAAAGATGATGATTACAATAAATTCATGTTGGGGAATTCACTGTTCTGGGAGAAATGATGTCTCACGTTTCAAAAGAAAGCCTTTACTTATGGTCTCTGTTGAAGAGGAACAGGCCCAAAGCACAGAGTAAAAATAGTTAAGGAACGGAAGAAATGGTGTCACTAGAATGGAGCAAAAGATAATGCTTAAAAAACATCTCCTGGCTCTTCTTTGATTCAGCACCTGGTATGGTGTAAGAGACCTTTGTGGTCTTGAGCCTGGAAATTGCTTATTCCCATTCCATAAATCATTTGCTCTTAGCCAAGGAAGGTCTTGAGTTTGAGAGAGCAAGCCAGGAAAAGATGTGCTTAAAATAAGATCAAGACTGTGGACAGGTCTAAAAATAGCACAATTCAGGTCTCTGGCCGAGAAATCCGCACGGCTCTATGAATGGTACCAACCAGCTCCAGGGGAAGACAACAGAGCTCTGGCCAGTCTGTGGGGTGCTGCTTTTGTAGCTCGGGCCTGGCATCGTTATTGTTTTGCAATCTAGCTTTGCATTTTCCTGGCATATTTTATGTTTTGGATTGAGAGAGATTGAAAGAGAGGGAAACACACACACATACAGACACACAACTTCTCATGTCACGGTGCCGGACATCCCAGACTTGGCACTGCCATACCATAAACTCCCGTGGTTCAAAATGGGACCATTAGGAGTCAAAAGAGGTCCCTGGCTCAATTCTGCAGGAGGAAAGTTCCCAAGGAACCCTATGGATGCTGAGCCAGCACAACTAACACAGTGAAAAGGAGCATTATCCGGGCAATTGTAACACTAGTGCGATGGCGTAAGCCTGGGACCTCTCTCTGCTTTCAGAGGCGAAGTCCACAATTTCGATGTCACTCACACCTGGTTCGTCAGACAGGCACCAAAAATTCAAAGGAGGGGCAGCTGACACTCTTCGGTCAGGGTAGCCCGGGAGGGGATAGCAGACACGATCGGTGGCTCGATCCTAGGCAGTCTGAACTATTTGTGGTGTGCACTGTTTCTTTCTTTCTAGAAATTGGAAAATGCCATACACTTGCCCGGCCTGTCGTTTGGGTGCTAGCTGCCAGCTTGGAGTTTGTTTTGTTGGTCCCAAACGCTAAACAAGAATCTTTCATGGAGTTAGCCGGAGAATGAATGCACTTCAGTAACTTGTCAGAACCACTTGTGGGTGGTGCTGGGGGTGGGGAGGGGGCAGGCAGGATTCCAGAGTTGAGAATCTTCCTCATTACTGGTACCCCACCATGCAAGGGAGCTAGACCATGCACGGGATCTCCCCCTACACTCAACACTCACAATATGGCCCCTTGCCTTCCATTTATTTTCTTTAAAACAAAATTGCTTTACCGTAGTGACATCATGTATAACAAGACATTTGCCAAATCAACATTTTGTACGTATCCAGCTCAGCGACGTTGACGATATTCTTCATGATGTGCAACAACCATCACTGGTGCATTTTGGCCAATTATCTCCCCACCTTTAACAGGAGCTCAGCATAATGACTCTCTCCTTCCCCCTCCCGCCAACTCCCGGTCCATACTAGCCAACTTGGTGTCTACGCATTTGCCTACTTTGTATGTGTGAGGCCACGCAAGGTTTGCACTTTTGTGATTAACTGTGTCACTCAGCTTGGTCTCGTCTAGGTCTGTCCCTGTTAGTAGCATTTGCAGGACTGCATTCCTCTTTCTGGCTGTCGGTGTGCACCAGTCTGGTTACCCGGTCCTCGGTACTGGTGGTTTCCCCCTTTGGGCTGCTGTGATGAACGCGGCTGTAAATATTGGTATAGAAGCTTCTGTTCCTGCTTTCAAGTTTTTCATTACTTTCTTTGAAATTTCTCTATTTTCCCCTGGGATGAACGAATGACGAGAAAGAAACGATTGGAGGGCAGAGAAGACAAGTCAAGTGGAGACAGGAAATGTGAGCAGGGGTGTCTGAGAACACGGGCCAGGGCAAAGCAGAGGAGCCAGATCGAGAGGGGGGCATGGCAGGCTTGCCCGCTGGTCCCTCAGCTCACTTGACATGCCATTGACATGCTACAAAACCTTGCGTAGTCCAAGAGTTCCTGCTAACACTGTTATCCCGTAATGATTTTGAACTTTCCCACCAAGTAAGGGATGTGGTTCTCAGAAGCAGATGAATTGAAGGAAGCAGGCAGCAGTCACAACAGAAACAGAAACTTTTAGAGGAATCATGAATCAATCAAAGTACTCATTGGTTCACTTACAAACCTCTACTGTGGGTGTAACTGAACGCAGGATGCAAGAGGCACTGGGCAGGTACAATGATAATGACAAGAGCTCACGTTGTTCACTGAGTGCTGACTATGTGCCAGGCAATCCGCTGAACCCTTTATGCATGTTAACTCCTGGAACCCCCATAAATGACCCTCACTTTCTGATGGAGAGCCTGAGGCACATAGAGGTTCAATAACCCGAGCAAGGCCACCAAGTGTGCAAAAAAGGTTTCCAACTCTCAACAGTCCAACTGGGATAAGAATGCATATATAAGAATGTCCACAAAATAAGACAAGAAAATGAGTGTTTTGTTGTTCTTAATGTAAGATGAGCTTGGTGACAAGATACCTCTTCCAGGGAGAACAGTAACTGATAACAACATTCCGAGGGACTGGAAGTAGAAATGGGGGGTGGGTGTGATTGCAATGGGAGGTGCCCGAGAGGAGGGAGCAGAGCAAAGGTGGGGAAGTGGCGTTCCTGCCTGGGGACCAAGGAAGACGGTGGCAGACTATCAACTGTTTCTTGGTGGAGAGGGGCAGGAAACTAAACGAGAAAGCCACGTGATACCAGGATGAAGAGGGCATCACGATTCAGGCTAATATGTCAGGAGCTTAGGGACAAATAGGAAATACAGAAAGTGTTTCTTCAGAAGGAGCTCACCTGACTATAAGAGATGTAGAAAGTCAAGCCTGGCTGTCAAGTACATGCTGGATTAGAAGAGGGTAGGTCCTCCTAGAAGTAGATGTAGGATCCTGGCCTTCAGAGTTTTTTGTGAACCTCTAGCCGCAGTGCTGTAGTGGTTAGGCATTGGGCTGCTAACCGCAAGGTCAGCAGTTTGAAACCACTAGCTGCTCTGTGGGAGAAAGCTGAGGCTTTTTGCTCCTGTAAAGAGTTTCAGTCTCAGAAGCTCACAGGAGCAGGTCTGTGAGTTTGGGCCTGTGAGCAGCGTCTGCTCACCCTGCTCCTTTTACAGAGAGGCTATGAGTCGGAATCGACTCTGTGGCAATGAGCTTGGTTTTCGAGTTTGTATCCACAGTTCAGAATCTGGTTCCCCTCATGACCTAGTTTTATGCATTTTTAGATATAACCACAAGAATGCCCTTACTATATGTGATACCTCCTAAACCTTTCTAGTCTACTTATTTCTTTTTGTACACGTTGGTAGTGCAGTAGATTGATTTTATGATGGACAAGTGGATAGAGCCCCATACTCTGGCTAGCAGAGTTACCTAGGTATACCTTGGTGAGAGATAGAGACTGGTAAGCGTTGAAGGGTGGAGAGTACTGTATAGTGACCACAGAGAAAAAGGAATGTGTAAGGAGATACCGCTTGGGAAAAATAATAATTTCCTGTCAACTGATTGGATATAAAGATGTGGAGACAGGGGTGGGGGTTGAGTTGGTTTAGGGCACTGGTGTGAAAGATGCTGACCTAAAATAATAATTTCCTGTCAACTGATTGGATATAAAGATGTGGAGACAGGGGTGGGGGTTGAGTTGGTTTAGGGCACTGGTGTGAAAGATGCTGACCTAAGACCAGCAGTGTCAACGCTCATTTGGAACTTGTTAGAAAGCCAGCATGTAAGGCCCCATCCCAGACCTCCTGAACCAGAGTCAACTTTTAAACAAGATTCCTGGGTGATTCACACACACCTTAAAGGCTGAGGAGCACTGGTGTTGAAGAAGTAATTGAGTCAAAAGTC